TACTCTTTTCTCGTTCTGTTCTCCCAAATATGGCCGACTAAAGTGGAGAAGTATTGAATGGGCGGGGGGGCGCTCCCTGGAGTATAGTTGAGCTAAATGTGTTCACAGCGTGGCATTGTGGTTGGAGGCACTTTCGTTTGACGAAGGAGTCACTTATAGAAAGAAATTTAGCTCGATTCGCCTTTCTATCAACTTTGCATTTGCCTATGTGAGGGGCGGGCGGCAAGGAGAAAAGAAATGATTTTTTTACTTTTGAAGTCGCTAAAGATCATGCTCGAAGGAATGCTATTAGAAGAAAGTATTAATGATGATGATAATGGTAGTTGAAATTGAATTACTATTCAAGCGTTCGTTTAGATAGTCATATGGTAACTCGAGTATGCGGAGCCAATGGTGAATGGCAGGAGTCCAATTACAGTCAGTGCATTGCAGTAGTCGAAGAGTACAAGCACTGTATAGCGGGATTTTGTCGTGCGGTAAGTCACCTTAGGAACGTTGCACCTTTTCATACCTTGAAAGGACTTTCACGCTCCCTTCATAGTGCAGCATCCATCGTTGCCTTAATCAAGCATGAATTCATTTCGTCACTTTACCTCAAGGGACCTTTCGGTTTCCGTGGCGCAATTTTCGTTTCACGCTGTGTAATTTGCTTCGCTTCTGCGATGCGCTACGATTTTAGTGAAAAAAATGGTACCAAGTTGATTATGCATCACCTCTCAAATGAAGGGATTTCGCCGCGTATTCTATCGTTGAAATATTAATCCTTCTACTCCCAAGGGTGGTGACTGTTTTAACCAACCTTTTTCTACTCACTTATAAGTAAACTTACCAAATATCTTTAGTAAAGCAAACTTACATCAATCCACTTCAGTGCCCCGATCTTCTTCGAGAGGTCGTCATCTCCGTATCCCTGACGCTTTCCATAGTATCTGTGACCCTTCTAGTTGCAGCTATATTACTCTTCTCCATATTCGATTCGATTCAAGTAAGTTTTTGTAAATTACTTATGAAAAACTGCTGCGCTAAAGTATAATTATCTATTCTCATTCGTGTGCTACACCCACCTCAAACCTCTACATCACCAAATAAATTATACTTCCCTTGCAGAAGAAGATTACTGCGGGGGACTTCAAACGCTAGAAAATTCAAAAATACGTGAACCTTCAATGCAGTCTTATGTGTACTCTGCTTTAACGAAGTTTTTTAGTGTCGTCGACTATCGATTCACAAAAACCTTGCCACTGCGTTTGTGTTTCGATTCGCTATGTTTGCTATTTGGACCATTTTGCAGTCAACAAACCTTTTCTCAGATTGTACATCATTTCTTCCTCAACCTCTTTGGCAATGGGTGAGCTGTTTGAATCTTATGCTTTGATGCAGCTCTTATGGTTTCTGTATTTAGGAATGGATATGCAAAACAGTCCTCTGGTTCGTAATATACTTCCAGGTAGGTAATCTCTATCGTAAAATTTTGGGCCTCGATAGGATTTTTGAACCTTTATGCTCCACTTCCTAGCTAATACGAGAATTGATCACTGTGCTCGAGGTCATGTATGAGAACAAAAAAAGTTTACTCCATTGAGAGCTCTATGCTATTTATAGACAAATCACTAGACGTTTACCTGTGACGCACTTGTCTCTGTCTTTTCGTGCACAGAGTTTCCTTAAACTTGTTAATCATGAAATTGAGCCAATTCTTTTTCCTCCTATACCATTAAAGATAAATTTTTATGTCTAGCCGACTTCAGGTGGCCTCTGTCATGTGGATGCTGATCGAAGGAGCCTATCTGTACAGTCGATTTACGGTTTTTGCAATGCGTCATAATGATGCCCCTTGGTTTTTATACATGTTATGTGGATGGGGTAAGTCTCCAGAAAGTTCTTCCTACTTTAGGTTACAATCGTATGACCATCGTCCCCTTCTCTTCCTCATTAGCTTTTCAGTAGAAAATTGCGTTCAGCTAGGAATTTTCGTCACTTTGCCAAAGGTCCTAGTTTTCAAAAAGGAGATTGTAAAGATGGAGCTAAGAGTAGGGTCAAACCCTATATGGTAGAGGCAGCAGTATCTACGAAGGTGTTGCGTTATGACGCAGATTGCTTCATCTTGGATCCGTTTTTAGT